GGGGGGGGGGGGGGGGGGGGGGGGAATGAATCAAAGCCTGGGGGTTCTGGGAAAAAGGAGTGGTTAGTCCTGTGACCCCCAGACGGACAGGCCCAGAATGTGCAGAAAAGGCTGGGCTGGACCCAGCAGCTACCTGGAGACCCCCCAAGCCGGGCTCTGCTTTTCAACCCCTACTGTTGTCTTTACAGACTTCAAAGGAAGACGAAGCCTCGTGGCAGACCCCTGAGGGAGACATGACCCCAGGCCCTCCCCTCCCCGTGTCTGGGGACGAGCCAGACTTTTCTAAGTTCATCTCAGTCTAGCCGCCTAACGCCCTCCGTGAATCTCTGGAAGGGCTGAATTTGCACTGACTTGGATAAGTTTTCTGCTACGGCTTCAGAGTCCTCCTGCCAGAGTCCAGGGCTCTCCTCCACCCTCCCCAAGCTTTCCTCTTGCATGCCCCAGCTGACCCAGAAGGCTTCGTCCGCACTGGAGCCTGGAGTGGTGGCTTCACGGTTCCAGCTGGAGACGGGGACCTTCCCAAGATGGTCACATTCCTGGGCAAAGCGTGCAGCCGCTGGACCCTCAAGGGGCCAGGCAGGGCTCAGGGGGTCTGGTCCAAGTTTGTATCTGCTATGGGAACTCCCCTGGGCCTGGGTGCCCAGTCACAGGCCGCTCCTAACTCCCCCTCCAGATCCCACCTTCTCTTCCCTTCCTTCCATCCTCAGACGCAAGGTCAAGTTCTCCTACATAAGCTGGTGAGGAGGAGGGAGACTGCTGGGTTAGACCGGATTCTGATTTCTCAAAGCCGGGCTGTGAACCTCCTGCATTCCAGTCCTTCAGGAAGCTGGTTAAAAAGATAATTCCTGGGCCCCATCAAGAACTACCAAAACGGAACTTCCCTGGTGGTGCAGTGGTTAAGAATCTGCCTGCCAACACAGGGGACACAGGTTAGATCCCTGGTCCGGGAAGATCCCGCATGCCGTGGAGCAACTAAGCCCGTACGCCACAACTACTGAAGCCCATGCGCCTAGAGCCCGTGCTCCGCAACAAGAGAAGCCACTGCGATGAGAAGCCCATGCACCGCACCGAAGAGTAGCCCCCACTCGCCGCAACTAGAGAAAGCCCGCGCGCAGCAACGAAGCCAAAAATAATTAAAAAAAAAAAAAAAAAGAACTACGAAAACCATCTCTGAGGCTGGGCCCGGGACTCTGCATTTCTAAAAAGTGCACTGGTGATTCTAACTCTTGAGTTTGAGCACCAGTGGGCTGGTTGAGCTCTCAGGCCCCTCCAGTTTAGAGAGTCTACATTTGGTGTGTGGAGTCTCCCCCCTGCCCCCTATAGGGCCTGCTCTGCCCATGACACCATGACCCAGCTGGGGGCTTTCTTGGACCTGCCCGAGTCCAGTTCCAGGTCAAGTGCACATTGGAAGGGGTGAGCCCAGGACTGGCGGGGAGCGGTTGTCTTTCTGATCTCCCTACCTAGCCATGCATTCCAGGCTTTGGAAGGAGGATGGAAAAAAGCACGGCTCCTTCCTTGTCAAGAAAGGGGTGAAGGGACACATTAGGCATTTGTTAGTTTGTGATACCACGATAAGGGAGCTGTCCTCCTTCTCCTCATGGGTCTGGGGATCACAGGACAGGAGGGAGTTCCCTGCCAGCAAAACTTCAGTCAAAACACCTCCTTCGGGCTTCCCTGGTGGCGCAGTGGTTGAGAGTCCGCCTGCCGATGCAGGAGACACGGGTTCGTGCCCCGGTCCGGGAAGATCCCACATGCCGCGGAGCGGCTGCACCCGTGAGCCATGGCCGCTGAGCCTGCGCATCCGGAGCCTGTGCTCCGCAACGGGAGAGGCCACAACAGCCCGCGTACCGAAAAAAAAAAAAAGAAAGAAAAAGAAAGCGTTGACTACCTGTGGGTTCTGAGAGCTGGGGAGGGGGTAGGAAAACACAGGGTGCAGGTGGAGGTAGGTATCTAAAAGGGAGGAGGGAGGGGACAGGGCAGGACCCTAAGGGGAACCTGACGGTGACCTGGAGTTTGGTCCCCTGGAGTGGGCAGAGGGAAGGTAGAATAACAGAACGACTGGGTTTTTGAAAAATGAACCGGGGGCTGCTCAATATACAAAACCTAGAAAGATGGGGGGATAAAAGGAAGAACACATGTCACCCATCGTCTCCCCGCTACCCGGAGACAGAATGACTACAAATTGTTGTATTTCTTTCCAGTCTTTTTTCTCCACATCACTTGCTGATGTGCTTCTACAAATTATTTTGTACATATAACTTTATATCCTGCTTTTCCCACTTAGTTATTATATCATAAGCATGTTTTTGCATAATGTTTTTACAAACCTTTTATAAATTAAATGTTGACCAGCAGCATAATATTTCAGATTGGTATGCTTCAGTTTATTTCAGTTCTCTCTCACTAGATATTTAATTTGTTTCTATTTTTGCTATAAATAACAGCATGGTGAATCTAGGCACATAGCTTTGCCTGCATCTGGAGATTTCTTTCAGAAGGATGTGCATATGTGGAAGTGCCAGGTCAGAGGGTGTGAACAGTTCTGAAGTTACTGATACCCATTGCTAAACAGCTTTGAGAAATGGCAGTACCAGTTTCACCCCCACCAGGGCCTAGCAGTCAGCATTTCTCAAAGTCCTCACCAGCCTCTGCACCCATCCCAGTGGGTGTGGGAGGAGAAACCACCCGTAAGGCCTATGGAATGAGCCTAGGGGGCTGGGCAAGGTGGAGCCGGTCTGAAGATGCAAGGGAAACTCACCAGAAGGTGGCAGCCAGTTCCCCGGGAGGTGAAGTAGTGAGCACTTTTTACCTTCTCTGAATGGAAAGGGAGACCCGAGTCTGAGCTCTAGGGACTCTGCCCAGGATCTGGGCACAGTGTGTGCCCAGATGTTGGGGGAAGTAGGAATTAGCAAGTTTCAGGTGGTCTCAGAGACCCCAGGAGTTCCTCCAAAGCAGGCTTCCCCCATGAGAAATCCCGCAGCTGGAGGCTGGTGAGAACAGGGGCTTCTCAGAAGGGAAAGAAACTTCCTGTCCTCGCAGCCTGTCACCTATAGCAGCTTTTGGGGGACCAGGAATGCTCAGCTGGGTCATCCCAGTCCCACCCCTTGCCTGATTTCAGACCATGTGCCTGCTAAAGAGATCTATGTCTTTTGTGAAGCAGAGCTCTCTCCAAGGCAGCCTAGGATTGGCATCCACTGGATTCCAAGTTTCCGTGGATTTATTAGATACTCAAGCATCCTTCATAGACCCTGGCACACTGTCCTAGCTCCCAGTGCTGCCACAGTGCTGGCCCAGTGCCACCCTCCTGGGCAGGGGAAGAAGTCTACTCCCTCGCCAGCTGCCACTCTGCAGTCCCCCATCTTGATACACCTTGGTTTTATATTTGTACACCCACATCTTCAGCTCTGTGATCTCGTGTACCTATGAGAGGCCCTTGAACAAAAGAATTGCAATAAGTCGCTGCTCACCCATCCCAAGAGCAAGGGTTTCCAGCCTGGGAACTTGCTGAGAGGTAAAAGCTAGGGGAACATCAGCATTGCTAAAGTTCCGTTTTGCCAAATTGGGATATTAGCTATAATAATAAACTACCCTGTATCCTCCCATTAGTTTCTTTTAAAGAAATATTTTAACACCAAAGAGAGTGTCGATGGGAAAATGAATGTTTTAAGATAGTCCTTCCCTAATCGACCCCTAGACAAAGAATTGGATGTTATGATCCTAATCCACTGAGGCCTATTGAAGAGAGATTTTCTACAATCTTTTGGTTACAAAAGGGGAAGAGTGGGGAAGGGATAAACTAGGAGTTTGGGATTAACAGATATGCACTACTACATAGAAAAGAGATAAACAACAAGGACCTACCATATAGCACAAGGAACTAGATTCAGTATCTTGTAATAACCTAGAATGGAAAAAAAACTGAAAAAGAATATATATATGTGTGTGTGTGTGTGTGTGTGTTTCATAGAGACCCTTTACCAGGTTGAGAAATTTCCCTTCTAGTCCTAGTTTACTGAGCTTTTTTAAATCAGAAATTGATGTTGATTTTATCAATGATTTTTCAACAACTATTGAGATGATTATATGTTTTTTCTTTTTTAGTCTGCAAATATGACTCTATTCTTTGATTTTCTAACATTAAGCCAACCTGGGATTAACTTGACTTGGTCAGTACCGGTATGTAGTTTTCTTTTCTTGTTAAGTTCTCTGCCTGGTTTTGGTATCAGGGTAAGCTGAGAAGTGATCCCTCCTCTTCAATTTTCTGGAAGAGTTTGTGTAGAATTGGTAATATTTCTTTTTCATATGTTTGGTAGACTTCGTCAGTGAAGGCATCTGGGCCTAGAATTTTCTGTGTAGGAAGGTACAAACTAGACATTATTGTTAATTGCTATTTTACACAAACAATGTTTACTTAGATTCTTACATTTCAGATTTTCTGTTTAAAAAGTCATGTTAGTGGTAAAGTCTGTCAGTTTTTATCTGAAAAGCTCTACTTCATAAAAATTCCTGAAAGAGTTTTGCTGGGTATACAATTCTAGGTTTACAGCCATTCTCTCTCAGCATTTTGGAAATACTATTGTTTCGTCTTTTAGCTATAAGTGTTGCTGTTGGGAAGTCTGCTGTCAGACTGAGTGATGTGATCGTTTTTCTCAGACTGCTTTCTACTTGTACTGGTGTTCTGCAGTTTTACTCCTGACCATGAGTAAATTTTTCTTGTTTGGTGTAAATCCTTACATCTGTGGATTCATGCCTTTCATCAGTTCTGGAACATTCTCTTCAAATATTTATCTATACTCCATTCTTTTTAATGTCTCCATTGACCAGGATAAAGTTTTTTTAGACCTTATCTTTATAACTGCCATATCTCTTACCCTCTCTTTCATATTTCCCTTCTCCTTATCTCTGTTCTTCCTTCTATATAATTTCTTCAGCTCTATCTTCTAGTTTAGTACTTCTTAAACTTGAAAATGCCTATTAATTACCAAGGAATCTTGTTAAACTGCAAGTCTGATGCAGTAGTTCTGGATGGGGCCTGAGAGCTGCATTTCTAACAAGCTCCCAGCCTGATGATGAGGCCAATCCGAGGACCATACTCAGGGGAGCACCTTTCTGGTTCACTCATCTCTTTTCAGTTGTGTTTGATTTGCTGTTAACCCCCTCCAATCAGTTTTTGTTTTAATCATTGTATTTTTATTTCTATAAGTTCTGGATGGTTCTCCTTCAAAACTAACTGTCCATTCTAGTGTCTTCTTGCTGGTTAATTTTTGTAATGCCATCTTTTATGTCATTAAACATTTACACG